TTTTTAGCCCAATTACAATGAAGATGAAAAAAAAATCTTGTTCATGACCTGTGTAGTGTGTTAACACTATTGGAAGTAAAAATAACTTGAACTCCGACGATTTTGAAAACACAACTTTATCTTTTATTTTTTTAGTAAAGCTCTGACTTGTATTATAAGTATGAGTCTGTGGGCTGAGAGAGAGTCCTGTGACTCTCTGTCTGCAAAATACAGTAAATAATGACCAATGTTGGGCAATTATTTATATAGTTACTTCTTTAAAAAAAGTAACTAAGTAATGCAAACAACAAAGTTTTTTGCAGCTGTTTACCTAAAAATTCAGCCAAGGCGTTTTTTTAAATAAACATTTTAAACTATTTACAGAACAATCAGCTGTTCTGCTTCAAATTTGATGCCACACAAATTATTTGTGCCACTCCAAAAAATAATTTCTGTCCACTATGAGATAAAGGAGAACAACAGCCTGATACCTGCAGGCCTGACAACAGGAGATGCATCACTCCTGTAACACCTGTAACGTTCAGTAGCCGCCTCGTTGTTCTGACACACACAACAAAACTATTGACTACACTACACACTAACTACACAAGATTTGCGCTAAACGTCGCAAATCTCTCATCTCAAAACCGCAGTCACTCCTAAAACTTCTCCCCGTTTCTTAACAACTAAATGCCATGTTTTGATTGGTCCACATGGTACATTTTTCGACCAATGGGAAAGGGTGGGGGTGTTTTGGTTTTATCTTTGCTCACAGGCGGAGAGTGCTTTCGAGCGTTTTCCTTATAAAACGCAATTTTTACCGTTTCTTCCCGCAGTAAATGTAAACAACGATAGTATTCAGGAAGAAAACTAAACATTGCAGATATTTTTTATCATAACTCTGGTTTTACGTGGCCTAGCAACACAATTTAAAAACTGGTATAAAATCCACACTTTTTCAATTGTTCCGTCTGTCCTGCTCACATCTCCAATGGTTGTACACGTTGTTATTAACGTGGCCTCACTCCACATCAGCCACACTGCTTTGCTAGCTAAAACATCGGTGTCGGCACATAAGGACGCTGTCATAGCCTGTCAACGACGTTGATTAGCTGCGTATATACGAATGTGAATCGCGTGATTGGCTGGACTATGGGATAAGGTGGCATCGTTCTAATCCCATACTGGAGCAGCCAGTCACTTACTAACTAACACTGCAAAACAGAATTGTTAACGTATTTACTTTATTTTCAATACAGGTTAGAATTTTTTTTGTGATTTTTTTCTGCACAGAGACCGTGCCAGCAGTGCGCAATTGCGCACACGCGCAGCTTAGAGGGAACATTGGTAATAAGTGAATCTAGTTTGCGTCCTTCATTTAGGCACGGCTTCTTTAACTATGTTTTATAAATGCAATGGAAACTGGTCTGGGGTTATTCACACTAGTCTTACAATGTTTTTCAATTTCTTTTTTTAAACAGTCATATAATGATGATATACACCAGAATAGTCAAAATTGCAGCTGCCATAGAACAGTTTTCGTTCTCTAGAAGTCAACCGATTTCCTTTTTTCTCTCCAAGTGGAGGTAGAAAAGTAGTAAAATGGTAACAAGGCAAGTGTAAAACATGAAAATGGAAGGCAGATATGAAAAAAAAACTTTGGTGGAAAAGCACTTGCAGGTATTTATTCTGTTTCCTTCTCAGTCAAAGATAGAGGGGCATGCATTCGTTTGTGTTTCAGTGTACCCGGCCTTGTCAAGATAAAGCTGATAATGTTTTATTGTGAAGCGTGTTTACCCTGCACATTGAATGAATATTCAGAGACTTGCTTCCAGCTTCATTTGTTCATTTGTGTTTGTGTGTGTGTGTGCTTATATCCTTATTAGCTGAGGGGGAACGAAAGTCCCCTGAAGGTGTGATCTGAAGTGCAATATTTCAAAGAGCTCCCCTCTGCAGCATTGCTGTGATGCTTCTGCTATTGTGTTGTGTAATTAATGCTGATGTAGTGCTTCAGTAGCTTTTTGAGTGATGCTTTATAATGGGAAATGATATTGGATTTATTTACTTTGACTAAGTGATTGTTTTTATCTGTTGTAAACATTTTATGATGCCCATCTTTTACACCTAATAAGAGATGAATTAAGGATTCTAAATTGGGAGCAAATACATATTGTACAGATGATGCTGTATTTCTGTACAAATAACTGAGGTGAGAAAATGTAAAGGTGTGCTGAATTATTGATATAAAAACCAGTAAACATTATTGAAAGTGTATTTAGTTCACACTAAATTCATAATATAATTTTAGAAATATTACTAAATGTGTAAACCAAAAATGTGTGATTCAAGAGTGACCAAACTTTTTTTTTACTTACGTTTTGTCACATTTTCATTGCAAAAATATTTTGTCAAGTGATTTGGGATTGGAGGCACTTAAGGCAGAGAATATTTTCTGCACTATAAGACACACTTAAAATCCTTTCATTTTCTCAAAAATCGAGAGTGCGCCTTATGTATGAATTCTGGTTGTTCTTACTGATCTCGAACCGATTTTATGTGGTAGCTCAAAAATCTGTCAAAAATGTTTTTGTCAGACTTTGGTAAGCTACTAAGCCGCACTGCTTGATGGATAGTCGTCAGGAGCCTCTCAGAGTAATCTGGGTCCTAAACTCCGTCTCCCTCAGGTCCCAAAGTCAAACGAACACTGCGGCACCACTGAGAGTTAAAAACTGTCTAAATTCTTTCATCTTTGATAAAAATGATCAGCGTTGCTGCTTTACCAGGTGCAACAATTAAGTTTAACATCCAGACGTCCATGAAAACAGGATTTATTAACTTTAACAGAGTTAGAAGTTAGCAGGAAGTTAGCTCGCTAGCTTCCACCTAAACATGATATAGCATGTTCTGACTGAGAGATTTCTGAAAAAATTCAAACGTACAGCTCTGCTATCACTTCCAACATAAATGAAGACAGAAAACTAAACAGCAGTGACGTTTGTAGGGTTACTGAAGTTGGGCTAGCTGGTATATAAGGATGTGCTACATGGTAGCGACATAGCTATGTTAGAATAACATAAACACAGGGAAGCTGGAGGATGAACGCTAACTTTTTCCCACTGTGAAGGTTCCTGATGGTTAGGGACAAATGCAATCACATGGCAGGATGCTGTAAACAGACCAAACTTCAGTCAGGAGAACAACTGAGATAATCCATCTACAATACGAGGTTAGTCATTTATATACGCAACAACATGGGAATAGAGCAGCTGGAGAGAATTCAACATTAATGAATCAATGGTACAGAAGTGGAGGAAGCAAGAAGAATGAGTTGGGTAAAGTTTGACTTATCTGACTGTTTTGTTTCGCTTAATGTGCCTTATGTATGAAAACTGACCCGTTCATCGACAGTGCGCCTTATAATGCTGTGAGCCTTATGGTCTGAAAAATATGGAATGTAATTATTCCAAAGGGCTCATACTTTGCTTAATCTACAGCAATACATCATGTTCTAAATCTTGACTTTCAGAACATGTATACTGTAATAGTATATTATTAACAAAAAAAATCACTTTGCCACTGTTATCATTCAAAGGCTTGAGCACTGTGGGACATGCCTAACTGTCAATATCTACAGTGCGTTAAAAATATTATTTAAAAATGAGGGTGTGTATTTGCAAAACGGCTGTTTGATCATTGCACATTTGGTCACTCACATAATTACTGATTTCTAATGTGAAATTGATGGCTGCATCTGTTCTACTCGCCAAAGTGGAGCTTATTACTATTACAGCAATAAGATCGCAGTAATGTAAAGGATGTATGTGTATAGGTGAAATACTTTCTAGTGTTTAAGATAAAAGGATACAGATCATGTTTTTAGATTTAACTAGGCAAACACTGCTTGCCTTGCTTGTCTTGGTGGAATGCCATTATTGAATAAACACAGATTCAAGATTCAAGATCTTTTTATTTGTCACATACATAGTTATACAAGTATAACACGCAGTGAAATGTGACCTGATACGCTCCTCGACTGTGCAAAATAGTGAGGGAAAAACATTATATACAGTAAGTAAGTACATATATACAAAGAGGACATTATGTGCAGTAAGTGATTTAATTATATACATTAAGTTAAATAGAATAAAACAATCTGGAAATTTACAGGTCAAAATTTGGGAATGAATATTGTGTGAGTGGGGTGTTAAAGTGACATTTGCTGCTATGAAGTCAGAAGGATCAGGCATGATATGGGAATATGTGAGTCCTGTCTCCGTTCATTATTAACATTTTAATATTCTGAGAGTAGCTTCTTACGTAGTTATGATGACTCTAATCCCAACCCAAGCCCTAACACTAAAACTATTCAAAAAGGGTTTTTGTTTATATTAAATGGTTCTCTCAAGTCCTGGCAACCAGGAAACAAAGAAGATGGCACACATGAAAAACTTCCCATTATTTCCCAAAGCTCAATTTTGACCTTAGACCTCACAGGGGATAATGTTAGCATATGTTACATTGAAGCCACATGCTAAACAAGCCGTTTTTCAGATATTACAAGAAAATGAAAATCTGTTACATGCATTTTGGCCTTGGAAATCTTCTGTCATAAGGTTTCCAATTCAGAATGCCAATATAGGTAGAAATTCCATGTAAAGGGTTTAAATCTAACATTAACCCTATACCCCTGACCCTAAACAGATCTCAGATCTCATTTCAACCAAAAATTCATAGCAGATATCTGCTCTGAAAACCAGGGTAAATTTTTTTCTTCTTCTCTCCCTCAAGTATGAATAAAACTGTGTTTCAGTAAGAGCATGGATCAATAACCAGAATTAGACTTGGAATAATAACATTTAAATTATCCGAGATTTTCCCCCAGAAAGTCTTTTGAGGCAGACGAGGTGTGTTGTATTAATGTAGGTCAGTACTCTGCAAAGTGTTCACTGGCCGTGGTTTTATTTTTGCTCTGGTGCACAGCAGAATGGATTTCATCTCTTTTGTTCATTTCCTGTCCCCAGGTAAATATGCCCGAGCTGGCCTTGCTGCGTTTTGTGGTATTAGATGATGACTACATCGGAGATGATTTCATCGGCCAGTACAGCGTGGCCTTCGAGTGCCTTCAGCCTGGCTACCGTAATGTGCCCCTGCTGGGCCTGGCAGGAGACCCCTTACCTCACACCAGCCTGTTTGTCCACGTGGCAATCACCAACCGACGAGGAGGCGGGAAGGCCCAGCGGCGAGGTCTTTCGGTGCGGAGGGTGGGGAGACGGGGGAGAGAGTACGTCACAGTGAGGCACACTGGTATCAAGGTAGTGGATGAGACTTTTAAGTCAGCCAGTGGCCCTCTCAAAGAAGCGACGGACCTGCGGGAGGATGCTCAGGTGAGACTGGATGTGGACTGACTTTTGATAATATGTGCGACAGGCTTGTGACAGACCCAAGGTTCATTTACATTTCATAAATGAAAAATAAGCAAATATAAATATTTATTTATGAATATATAAATATATAATGTAAATAATATAAATATTTATTTTTATATAAATATATATAAATGACATCCAAACTTTGGTAAAATTATGTTCACTGGATGGCCTCAGAGGTGAAATAGGCTTGTGAACTGACCCAATGTTGATAGGATGCTTAAAAAGGGTGAATGGTGTAGGATTTTATGAATGTTCTGAAATTAGTAAATAGTAAAGCTTTATTTATTTAGCGCCTTTCAAACTATTGATCACAAAGTGCTGTGCAAAGGAAAACAAAAACATTAGACATCAGTACATCAAATCAGTCAGTTGCAAAAAGGTGTGTTTTTAATTGATTTTTAAAAAGCTCAAGAGGTTTGTGATGTCTGCAGACACAAACTAAAGAGGAAAGAGTTCCAGAGTCCTGGTGCTACTACTGAGAGGGCTCGGTCACCTTTAGTCACCTTTAGTCACCTTTAGTCACCTTTGGTTTTCAGCTTCGTACATGGCACAAATAGCAGGCTTTGGTCACCTTAGGGACCTGCTAGGAACATACAGATGTAAAAGTTCTTTGATGTAAGCTGGTGCTTGACCATTCAGAGTCCTGTAAGTGAGAACCAAGATCTTGAAATGTATTCTGGATTGAATGCCAACAGAGTCGGGCGAGTAGCGGTGTGAGGTGAGAAAACATTGGTGTTTTGGCAGCAGCGTTTGTACAGTCTGCAGATGGTCCAGTGATGCTTTGTTTAGGCAGCTGAATAATGAGTTACAGTAATCTAGTCTTGAAAAACAAAAGCATGAATAACAGTTTCCAATTCTGTTTTTGAGATAATACTATTTAGCTTAGCAATACTTTTTAAGTGATAAAAACATGAACAAACCAGAGTCTGAATGTGACCATCTAAAGTAAAACCAGAGTCATAATTTACCCCAAGGTTCCCGATAAAAGGCTTGGCATAAGAAGCTAATAGATCAAGAGTTTCCATTATTAGAGTTGTATGCTTTTCTGGAGCAAAAACTAGAATTTCATTTTTTTTCCTCATTAAGTTGGAGAAAATTTTTATCCTTGTGTAAGAGATGCAGTTTTGATACCTTGTGCAGCTTAAAAGGATGTATAACTGAATATCATCAGCAGTGATATGAGATATCTTTAAAAGTGTTCAAAGTGTGCTAAAAAACAGAAATAATAAGGGCCCCAAAACCGAACCCTGAGGTACACCAAAATGAAGATGGCTTAAAGAAGACCTATAATTTGAAGTAGCTACACAAAAAGAATGATCAGAAAGATATGAAATAAACCACTGTAAGGCAGATCCCATTATACTGGCCCAATACCTCAACCTGTCAAGCAAGATCTGGGGATCAACTGTATCAAAGACTGAGGTTAGGTCCAACATAAGGAGGACAGGACAGTTTCCTGTGTCACTTTGCACCAAAACACCATTAAAGATAAGAGAAGAGCTATCTCTGTTAATGTTCTTTAAAACAGCAGTTAGCTGCTTAGCAACATTTTTCTCAATAATAATTGGTCTCTAGCTGCCCAAGAGAGAAGGGTCTAGTGTGGCTTTTTTAGTATAGGGTGACTAACCGCATTCTTAAAGTAAATCGGGACTTGACTCGAGGCCAGAGAGGAATTAACAATATGAGGGCTGATGGAGCGAAAAACATCTTTAAACAGGGAAGCAGGTAAAATGTCTAAACAACAACAGACTTTCACAGAGCCAACTGGGTTGGTTAGTTCAGGAAGAGAAACAAGTATAAAATGATCTAAATTTACAAGCTGAGCTGGGGCAGAAATGGACAGCTGACAGAGAAAGGTTATTTCTAATATGAGTGATTTTTTTTTTAATTTTCACAGTCGATGTCAGATGACATGGGAACAGCAGGTGAAGCAGGGGTAACAATGTTATTAATAGTGTTAAACAGAACCTTAGGATTGCCTGTGCTTTTAGAAACCAGACTGGAGAACAGGCAGCCCTCGTTTCTCTAACAGAATTATTAAAAGACACCAAAATATCTTTGACATAAATTAAATGAACTTGCAAACGACTCTTCCTCCACAAGTGTTCAGGTTTCCGGCAAGAACGCTTTAAAGAGTGGATAAGGCCATTAATCCACGGTGAGGATTTTAAAACAGATGCTGATCTCTTTGTAAAAAGGACAGACACTGTCTAAAATAGAAAGGCAATAGTGGTTAGTCAAGACATTTACATCACTAACAGGAGATAACAGTAAATTAAAAGCAACACAGTAATGATTAGAAATAACAACAGGGGCAGATAAGATCCATGTTAAAGCCCAAGGTTAAAACAAGAGGGTGTCCTTTTGTGTAAAAGAGGCCAGATACATGCTGGGTAAAATGAAAAGAGTTCATAAGGTTGATGAAACTCCTCGCAGAAAGAGTCGTCATCGATATGAATATTAAAATCACCAGAAATAACTAGTCTGGACAGATTCAGGGTGAAAGACAAAAAGTAATTTGAAAATACTTTGATTGGACCGCGTCGGCGGTACACTATAGCGCATGAAATAAAATTCTCGAACTTTAAAGAGCAGCAGCTCAAACGAAGAGAAGTGACTGACTTTGGATGAATGGCTGGGAAACACCGCAGCAAGGCCTTCTCCTCAGCCCGACGTCCGTGGCTGGCTGATTAAAGAATAACCCTCCGGGCACAGCTCAATGAGGGATGCATAATCTGAGTCGTGCTGCCAGGTTTCAGTGAGCAGTAAGAAGTCCAGTTTTTTGGAGCTCAGCTCTCAGGTAGAATTAGACTTGTCTGTAGAGTGAATAAGAGAGTGGGGGAGGAGGAAGAGGAAGACGAGGCAGCGACAAAGGAGTCAGTGAGAAGAGTGGAGGAGGATTATAAATACCAGCGAAAATAGAACCTGGTCGCTCAGCTCCCACCATCTTATCACTGAACACCAACATGTATGGGTGGGCAATGTGAAAAGAATCCTTTTTTGCACTGGACCTGTTTTTAGAGAGGTATATTGTGATGTTAATATATACCTTATACCCATATATGTGTTGAAACTAGGACTTTCTTGTTCCTGGAGGTAGCGGCTCTGTGCATAAAACCAGTTGTTTAGGTACTCCAATACAATCCAGTGCCTCTATACCATTTACCAAAACTGGTTTGACCCAATGATAGGCTAGAAGGCATGACGTGACCTTATGTGAACGATAATCCAGAATCAGCCAAGTTACACTGGCCAAAGCCCAGGTGCTGAAAACGAACGAGGCGTATGTAGTGTCCAAACTGATACTCACACACATAATACACAGTCCCTCTGAACACTGTTAGTGAGCCACAGTGAAGTGTGGCCACACCAGGTCTTAATCAGTTCACCTGACTACGTGATTCAGATGACCTGGAATAGCAACTTTAAAGTATAGTAGACGGCAGGGGACAGAAATACTTGTGCTTTTCTTCTTTCATTCACTAAAAAGTTTTGATATGAAATACTTGCTAAATATAATTTTACAATGTAAAATAGAAAGAAATTAACTGGGAATGTTTAAAAGCACAAAGCAGGATAAGACAGATAAGTCAGTATATAGGCACTACTGTATAAGATAAGATACAGCCAGGAGTTCGTGGAGACCACCCATGCAGTTAAAAGAGTCAGTATTGGACTTAAAAGAGCTAAACGATGTAACTTCTTGGTCTGAAGCCAAACAAAAAGACTTCCAATTGTGTAGAAGTTTAAGGACGAACAGCCCTCGCCTACTTTGCTGTGTGACCTACAGTATAAACTTAGCAGGTGATGTTATAGTCTTAATCACTAGTTACAGCAATTCAATTCAATTTTATTTACATTGCATCAAATCACAACAATAGCTGCCTCAGTGAGCTTTATAGTGTAAGGGAAAGACCCTACAATAATACAGAGAAAACCCACAAAATTAGACAACCCCCTGTGAGCATGGAAATGGCGACAGTGGGAACGAAAAAATCCCTTTGAAGGCGAAGAAACCTCTGTCAGAATCAGGCTCAGGGAGGGGCAGCCATCAGCCACGACCGGTTTGGGGTGAGGTGTGGAAGTCGAGACAAAAGATACACTGTGGAAGACAGCCAGAGATTAGTAACAACTAATGATTAAAAGCAGAGTTAAAAAACACTCAGTGCATCATTGAAAGCCTCCAGTTGCCAAAGACTTAGAGAGATTTAAAACTAGAGAGCATGTCTGTTTCCTGAATCCAAACTGAAGGCTGGTTTCACACAAGAGGAGTCTGAAAGCTGAAGGCTCTGCCTCCCATTCCACTTTTAAATATCCTAGGAACCACAAGTAAACCAGCAGGCTGATAATGAAGTGCCCTGTTGGGGTGATATGATACTATGAGCTTCTTAAGATGGGGCCCAGTCTATGATATGTTTATTGGCTTAGACCTGGTTTCAAAATACCAAGATGGAGATGGCAAAACCACTTCACTAACCAGTTGGTGACTTCATGGCGGCTGTATCCTTTATATACAGTCTCTTTGTAACTGCTGTTAAGTTCACAATATCAATTTAAAATCTTCTCAGATGTTAGAGTCCCAACGTGTTTCTGTTGGTTCAAACTATCCTCTAATATCTTCAGCTTCCTAATAGAACAACCACAGTTTTTAAAAAATGTCCAGGAGGACAATCAGCCACATTAATGATGGAGGAATCAGAGTGCCCACGATAAATGCAGCTATTATGAACACACACATGATTTTCCTGCTATGATGCGACAGAAATGTCTGCTTGTGTGTAATGTTTGGGTGACTGCACGGTTTCATCCATGTAGTGTAGGTCTGTGAATTTAAAAACTGGAATGAATCTCTGGTTGAAAAATGTCAATCCTTTTCAGTAGAAAGCAGAGAGCAAATTTCCTGCCATCTCATTGATCATCCAATCCCACCCAGTCAGTCTGTCAGACACACTCCCACACAAACCCACGCACACACACCGAGTGCTACGCAGAAACACTTTTTACTCACTCAGAAACTGCTTTTAATCCTCCTGCTTCAGTCTCATTGTACACCCTGCTTCTCTCTGTCTCTCTGCCATGAGTCCAGCTGTGGGCTCATCTGCCACAGATATTATTCATCATGCTTCTCTGTGTCTGTCACATTCACAGACACAGATGCACTTACACACAGGTGGAGCATGATAATTGCTAGTCCAGTTGGGGATGTGGCAAGTGGCAAATGGCATTCAGTGCAACAGCAGAGGCTTTATATTCTAGTGCTCATACATGCAGAAATAAACCTTTTACCTTTGTTATGAAGTGACCCTGAATGGCAGTTCAGCAAATGAGTCCTTTAATCTGTCACACTCAAATCTGTGAACCATCCCGATCTTGCATCCCCCCATCCAACACACACTCTAATTGCTTTGATTTCCTGTTCCAGATTTATGCCATATTGTCTCCTTTTTTTGCTAAATGCGCTTAAGCTTAGGCTGATTTCACTGGATTAAAGGCAGCAGTGAGTGCCATATTGATTTAATTCACAAGGGAGACAGCAGATGACAGGGGAACGGAGGGGAAGTGAGCGGGGCGTGTCATGATTTTTGGCTTTTCCCAGCTTAATCTTACAGCCGGAACTGTACATCAGATCTAACACTATTTTCCCTCTCTTCTCTGTCTGTTTACCTGCACACCATTTCCAGAGCACCACAGCCAGTTTCAAAGAGCAGTGTGGGCTCCCCACTGTGGCCAAACTGAAGCAGTGCATCCAGACCTTGGGCACGAGGCTACAGAGTCCTGAGGGCACTATGGGGGCCACCATGGTTCTGAAGGATGGCTATCCATGTCTGGAGCCCCTGGTCGGCCTCTCGGAACCAACTCGCAAACTGCTCGCTGCTTATGAAACGGTCAGTAAGACACATTTATTGAGCTAACTGCTTCCTTAAAAAAGAAAGTTGCATTAATTCCTGTCTTGTGCAAACATGAAGAAAAATTTCTGACAAACTGCACAGACAAATATCGCTGTGAACTGCATCGTAGTTGCTCTAGGAAAATGATTGTAACTGGCCAATCCTGTTTATGATGCAACACTTTTTAGACCATCAGCTTGCACTCGTCATAGTGGTGTAACCTACGTTTTTGCTGCAAGCTGGAGGTCATGAGTCAAAAAGTATTTGCCCTTTTTCCTGATTTCTTAGATTTTTGCATATTTGTCACACTTTGCCCAACCATGAATTCTGCTCTCTGCTAGAAAATCTGCAAGGATAATTCCCAGTCATTTCATGCCCTGACGGCTCATGCATGTTTATGTTATGCAGCAGGAGAAAGGTCTGAAACAAACCAGCAAGTCCACCTCTCGATGGCTCTAAACCCCCCCGAAACAAAACAAGTCCAGACTCACCGTTTATTCTGATCTTAAGGCGCTTAAACAGACAAATTAAGACAATCCTCTGCAAAAGAGGCAAAAGAGTGGGCCAAAATTCCACCACAACCAGTTATTAGGTTTAGGGGACATTACTTTTTCACGTGGTCTTTTAACAAAGGCAATCATTATTTAAAACTTGGATTTTGCATTTTCTTGGATTATCGTGGTCCAATATTAAAATTAGTTTAATGAGCTGAAGCATGGAAGTGTGATAAATATGCCAAAAAATATGAACTCAGTTGGGGGCTTATAGGGCTTTTACTCTCTCTTCACTATGACGGACCGGTGCAGCGTCCACATCACTGCAGCCGCAGCACCAATCCATCTCCCTTCTCCCGTCACTCGTGAACAAGACCCTGAGATACTTAAACTCCTCCACTTGGGGCAAGAACTCGTCCCTGACCCAGAGTGGGCACTCCACCCTTTTCCGGCTGAGGACCATGGCCTCAGATTTGGAGGTGCTGATTCTCATTTTCACTGCTTCACACTTGGCTGTGAAACGTTGCAGTGCGAGCTGGAGGCCATCACCCGATGAAGCCAACAGAGCCACATCATCTGCAAAAAGCAGAGATGAGCTCCTGAGACCACCCAAGTGAAAGCCTTCTGCCACTTGGCTACGCCTAGAAATTCTGTCCATAAAAATTATGAACAGAATCGGTGACAAAGGGCAGCCCTGGCAGAGCCCATCACCCACCGGGAGTGAGTCTGACTTGTTGCCGGCTATGCGGACCAAGCTCTTGCTACGGTTGTATAAGGATTGAATGGCCCGTAGCAATGGGCCAGACACCCCATACTCCTAGAGCACCCCCCACTGGACACCTTGAGGAACACGGTCAAATGCCTTCTCCAAGTCCACAAAACACATGTAGACTGGTTGGGCAAACTCCCATGCTCCCTCAAGTATCCTTGAGAGGATCAAGAACTGGTCCAGTGTTCCGCGACCAGGATGAAAACTACATTGTTCCTCCTGTATCCGAGGTTCGACTAACAGACGGACTCTCCTCTCTAGCACCCTGGCATAGACTTTCCCAGGAGTGTGATGCCACTGTAGTTGGAACACACCCTCTGGTCCCCTTTCTTAAAGATGGGAACCACCACCCCGGTTTGCCAATCCAGAGGTGCCCCCCTGATCTCATTGTAAAGGCTTGTCAACCAGGAAAGCCCTACAACATCCAGAGCCTTCAGGATAGTAGGGTCTTCCGTAGGGTCTTGACATGGAAGACCCTACCAGGGGGCAGAAGCCCCCGGACAACATAGCCCCTGGGATCCCTGGGACACACAAACCCCACCACCACGATAAGGTAGCAATTCACAGTTAGACTAATAATCATTAGTAATCTCCAGGTCTGGATCAAACTATAAGCTGGGGACTGAAGTTTAGGTTTGAATAATGCTCCTGGTTAGCTTCCACCTGGTGGTTTCTCAGTCACCAGAACCTAGAATGTCAGTTAAACCACACCCAGTCTCAAACATAACTTTCTTTGAGGTCAAATGTCAACCTAATTTTCAGTAGTTGTTTTTTTTTTCAAAACAACCATCTGCACCAATCAGAAAGAGTGAATTTAGCCAATGAAATCATAAATATAATGATTATGAGACTTGACATGCTAGGTGTTTGCAGTGCTAATTTTAACTGTGCTTTGTGAGACCTACGTATATGTAGTTAGACCATGATATGTATCTTCCTGAGCTCTGTGTCACTTACGAGCTCCTCATAATGCTGCTCTTGCTAATTTTGCTCCTTTGGCTGAAACCTTTAGCATCAGAAACCTTTCCACAGTTTGTGAAGTTTTTTTTAGACATCTAACACTGCATCACTGAGTGTGCAGACCTTTGCTTACGTACATTTGCATCGTCTATAGGCATTAATTATACAGCAGCTCTGTGGTGACATGCATGAAACCGTCACCCACGAGCACGCACACACACACACACACACACACACACACACACACACACACCTCCTACTCAATCTCCTCTTGCATTTGATCAGGGCGAGACTCTCCCACCTCTTTTAGTGCTCAGCTATTTACTCCTACACATACCTCAGAACAATGTGGTTATTTACGTATGTGAGTGCAGCTGATGATGTTTGCGGCAAAACCCAGCAAATGCAGCCCAGCAGGTCAGTGTCATGATGCCATAGTTGGTGTGATCTCCAATCAAACATCACACCTCTTCAGCCTTTCTGAGCACAAACACACAGCGCTCAGTCACCACACAAAAAGCTCCCTCTCTCTTCCTGTATTCAGCCCTTTTTTCCCTTTTTATTTCTTTCAGTGATTTGAGGCAACCTGACTGATTTAAATGAGAAAATATAGTTACAACTCTCGCTATAGTTAGTTTAGCAAATTCTTCATTATTTAGAGATAGCAATGACATCAGTATGTTCCCATGTTGCAGAACTTTGCCGTACTAACCCAAGCTGCTTGGTCTGCAGTGCTGTTTAAGTGGGTGGTACGTGTCATCCACAGGGATACCAGGACCCAGAGTGTTCCAGCAGAACACTGATGTAATTAGAAGAAAATCGAGGATCAGTTACTTGATTTTATATAAGTTTAATGTAAAATGTCATCATTTGTTTCACCCAATGATTTAGGTTAGGTTATTTTAAAACAAAGAAAAACAGTATCTGTTTACATCAAGGAAGATGGAACCTGCTCAAAACCTACTTAAGAGTGATCAGTTCATTACCATAGTCTAATATTTTCAGCTCTGTTGTATTTCATATCTGCACAAGCTGTGATCAGAAAGTTGTACATTGTCTCAGCCCAGGACACACTGACAAAAGAGATTCTTAATCTCAAGAGATTAAGTACACTGTTAAAAAGTTACTTTGCTTGTATTTAAGCTACAGTACATGCCTGTATGTCATTTTGCTCTCAGTTTTATATCATGTATATAAGTAACTGAGAGATTAGAGTACGTACTGTACGCCTGAGTATCAGTGTAATGGTGAGAGAGTTGACTTGGAAGTGACAGGCAACCAATGTTACATCAGCAGTTACATCAACACACTTTTTTGCTTCATTCAGTGTTTTTTTTTAACGTACTGCGTAACACCCTGCACATATAAAAGATATACCCCCCAAAGAGTATCCATACTACATTTTGTAAACAAAGAAAGACATTTTGTAAACAAAATCTCTGGGCATAATCTGTACCCAACCAGGTGATTTAGCCATGTATAAAGAGAGCCTATTAACTTATTACCTATCGTTAATTTTATATGCATGTCTTTAGACTGTGGGAGGAATCTGGAGTATGCCCACTCAGAGAGGTGTAGGACGAATATCCAAATTCCACACAGAAAGGCCCAGATGACCAGGGCTTTTAATACTTGATAATAAGTTGCCCATTTAGCTGATCTCTCCATCTCTGGACTTGTTCTACTATATTTAGATTGCTCTCTGGAAGTCCCATTCTTTTCCGTTACATTTTTAATCTCCTCCAGTGTGTAAAAACAGCTGCACTTTGACTTGATTTTAAACTTAAGGAACAAGAACAAAGTACCAGAAAGGTTCTGGTCATTTACATTGAAAGCTATCCCTCAGAACCCTCATGACATTACAGTAGAACTGATGCCTGGACATTGTGACTCTGAGGGAAGAACAACCTCGTGAATGTCTCAAATAATATTAGCATGGCCCTGGACACGCTCTTGACTTTATGTGCCACCTTTGGGGGAAAACAGCTGGAGGCACACCTCTCAACGCCAACGATGATCCTTCACACATATGTGGGTTGTTTTGAAAGAGATGCTTATTTTTGCTCTCTGTCTGGTTCAGAGTGCACAGTGCTATTTTACATCGTTTCCTAATAGTCATAATGGGACTTCCAGGAAACCTTGAGATTCAAAACCTTAATCTGTAGCCCTGAGATTCCCAGGAGAGTATCTGGAAGAAGAAAATGGTCACATTTAAATCAGGTAAAGGTTAGATCTTGTATGGCCCAGACCATGTGATATGTCACATTTTCGAATACACTACACTAAAATATTGGGCCACACCTCTTAATCTTTGAATTCAGGTGTTTTTAGGCCCTTATATCCTTATATCTGCACAAAGTCAAACACTGAGCAATGCAATCTTCCTTTATAAACATTTATGAATAAATGGATTGTTGTAAAGAGTCTGGGATGCTACCGTTGCAAAAAGTCAGTTTGTGAAATTTCTTCCGTAAATAGTCCATGATCAGTGGTATTATTGCATCAACTGGAGCATTCTGCTAGTTTGTACAAGTAAGAGCACTCCCAGAGCTACAAAATGACCTTGAGCTGGCCACAGGTATGAGTGTTTGGTCACAGGCAGAACAATGTTTGCCAAACCTGCTATGACAATCAGAAACAGACTTGAAGAGGTTGGCCTGGGGCCCAGGCACTCTTAAGTGAGCGCTGAACTCGACGCCTGGCACCGTGGAGCCCAGTTGGTATTTGCCATAGAATGCAAGAATTGGCAGGTCCACCACTGGGTCCCTGTGTCTTTCACAGACAGCAGGTTCATCCTGAGCACATGCGACAAACGTGGAAGGGTCTGGGGGAGCTTCGAACATTATCCTGCCTGTGATGTCGTTCAGCATGACTGGTTTGGTGGTGCGTCAGTGATGGTCTTGGCAGGCATATCCATGGAGGGATTGCTTAGTTCTCTACACACTAGGCAACAGCACCTTGACTGAGTTTTGATATCCAGATATAATCCTTGGACTCATTGTCAGAACCCGTGCTGACGCATGGGTTCCTCCAACAATGCTCGGCCTCATGTGGTGAGAGTATACAGGCAGTTCCTCCATTGACTGGCCAGCCTGGTGCAGATCTGGGAGGAGACCCCTGGACACCATCTGTTGTCTCGTTTGGAGCATGCCCTGATATTTTCAGGCATGCATACAACCACATGTTGGCCATACAAATTACCATTTTTAGCGAAAATGGTGAAAATAGTGAGATTTTGACAAAATCAACTAGTCTGCTGCATAATTTTTTTCACTTTTCGGGGTGTCTTTGAATTCAGCCCTCTGCAAGTTGATAATTTTCATTTCCATGAAGCGATGTGGCCTAACACATTATTCAGTCCATATGAGTCCAGATATCCAGCATGATACTTTTCCCTCATTTACTTCCAATGTGCTTGCAAAGGGTTCGCTTAAAGACTTCCACAGACTCGTAGAGGTAATGGACGGGAACTAAATTTCAGTCTGGCTTTAGAAAAACCCAAACACATTTGAGAAAAAGTGTTACTTAGAGTTATTCATGACACTTTGTTGAGTGCAGACAGGGTAATCGTACTGCTACACTGTTAAAAAAACATCTTAAAAAAATGGTAATATTCCGGCAGCTGGGGCGCCAAAATACTACCGTAAAATAACATCCATAGCATTACATTTGAATTCAACAGTTCGATCTTTCCAATAACGGACAGATATTTGTGAAATCACGATACATTTGTGAATGTATTTTAACAATCTAAATATGCATTTCTACAGACAGATGCATTTAATAATCATAAAAATTATGTTTTATTACATTACAGTGATTTAACGTTAATTTACATTTGAAATGTGAACTCACAGTCTCTTTACGTGACTTTAATGATATTCTAGAAGGACAGAACAAAACTGTAAAATGCAGTAAAATACTTTTATATTAGGATTTTTTCCTACATTGCTGCCATACCCGCGACCTTGTGGTTGTTAGTTCACATTCATTGGCCGATGCTTAGCGTCATGTTATTATGTGTCCCAACATCCAATGGCATGTCACATTGCTTTCATGGCCACACCCTCACCCCAGGTGCAGAGGCCTATTTCTGTTCAGGAATGTTGTGAATACTTTGAGATTTATATTAATTGCAATTCCTACCTCTACATTTATTTTTCAAAATATATAATTAGCACAGCGCGGCCGTGCAATGTTTTATATGGTTTTTTAGTTTTTATTCCTATTAATTATATTTCCACTTGTTACCTCTGAATTATTGAATCAGACGACATGACATTTTCAGCACAATTATAATTCAAATACTCCTTTAATTATTGATTATTCTCATTAATTTTCAATCATTTTATATATTTTTCCATAGTATTATATTTGGATTTGACAGATGATTCCCTCACATAACAGACAAATATTTGTGAAATTATGATACATTTCTGAATGTATTTTTACAATCTAAATATGCATATGTACAAAAAATATATTTAAAAAAGAAGTAAATTGTGTTTTACTATATTTACAGTAATGATATGTTATTTTACCTTTGACACGTAAAATCACAGTCTACTTATGTAAATTTAATGATATTCTAGAAAGACAGTACAAAACTGTAAAATATACAGTAAGATACTTTGACATTACTATTTTTTGGAACAGTGTATTTTGCTACACCCGGCAGCATGCAGTCAGTCTTTTATCCCCAACGCTGTTGCACAAACGTCCTTTTACCATTCGGTTGGTACAATCAGTGTCTCATCTTAAATAACTTGTGCTATCCATAAAGTTTGGGACAAAGATCATTTTTGTTTTTTCTCTGTACATTATCACATTGGATTGTAAATCAAACAATCAGTATGTGATAAGTTCAGACTTTGGGTGTTAATTTAAGGGGTTTTACATGCACGGTTTCAAGATTACAGCCAATCTTATCCCCAGTCCCCCAGTTTCAGATGTTCAAAATTAATGAGAGAATCTAACATGAATTTCAGTATAAAAAGGTTTTAATACTTGGAGAAAAAGCCGATGTCCACCTGGAGTCAAATATTCTCTTTCCTCCCGTGAAATGCTTCGATGTTGTGAAGTTCTTTTTCTCAACCATGGAAATAATTCTGTCTACAAGCAGCTTCAGACCTTTTGGTGCACCACACTGATGATTTAGCCTAATCTCTCTCTCTGAAAGATTTGTTTTTAATGATGGCCTCCTTCACCTGCCCTCACATCTCTTTGGGCATCACCTTTAAAATGACATTAATGTTACTGTGACAATCTTTAAAATACAAATTGAACATTGTGAATCAACTTCAGATATTATGTCCACTTCATTTGGCATGAAATACGAGGCAAAGGGCCTCACATGGCCACATGGCCGCAAAACTACTTGTCAGTCAATTGTCCAATTAATTTGAACCTCTGAAAATGGAAGACGGGACACAGTTTGTAAAACCTCTTGCATTTAAGCTGAAAGTCTGTACTTGAGTCTCAACACAGTGGTGCCTCTGCATATCACTGCAGTAGATGCAGTAGCAATAACATTCATTACTTTTGTCCATATATTGTACTGCCTTCTGCATACTTGACATAGTATTTTTCATAAACCTTGAACATATAAAAGGACCAAAAAGTGAACATAGAAATTGTCTTCCTGTTTGTTCAGATGATTGCTGCCCAGAAACAGCTGATTGAGAATGCTGATGCAGTACAGGAGAGGATCGCTCAGGTGCAGAGGGAAGGTAAAGTATGCAGAGATGGATGAAAGGCTGCGTGGCTGGTGTGAGTGTCGTTTTGATCAGGTCTCATGAATAAAAGATCTGCAGCATGGGATATTCCCAAATTCTAACAAATCATCAAATAAGCAAGTCTGACTGAAACATCTAACAGTAGAGCTTAATTAGGGTGACTCCTCAGAGAATGGCTCTGTGAGTAAACAGCTTTGCATGTGGTGGCTGTAGCACTCTCTAAATTGGGTTCCCGTGAGGCACATATTTACAAAAGTATCTCTGTTTGAAATGTTGTTTACAATAAGTCAGCTGTTCTCTCTCACATTTGTACTGGATTTTCTGAACAGCTTATTTTCCAGCGTGTTTTTGCCTTTGGATGATTGACCTTTATGTGTCAGTGCTTTTGCTTTTACGTAAACATGTCAGTCTGGTTTGTACGACAACACACACGTAACTGCAACTGGGATAGCTGAGGGAAATCATCCATACGTTTGACAGCTATATTTCACCTGAATTTGATTTGCCGATTCCCAAGCTGCTCTGCCTCAATAATGCTCCTGCTTTCGTGCTTCACAGGAATGGACTTCCATGAGGATCTCTCTCGGCTTGGAGAGAAGGAAGGACTAAAGGGTCGCAAGCTTAACAAAGCTGTGGAGAGTTTCACCTGGAACATTACTGTACTTAAGGTAAAGGAAGGCAGAACATAAATAAATAGAAACATTTTGTAGGACGAACTTTGAAAAATGTATCTGTAATTTCAGAAGACAAACAGTGACAATAGCCCGACTCCAGGCTGGACGAGGCCTTTACAGACCGGACGCGTCGAATTCGTGCAGATGTTCTGTTTGTTGAAAATATTCCTGGGCTCACTTCCTAATGCAGCCATTGACACCGAGCATGTAATTTCACAGGAAGAATTTTCAGCATTATTTCAGCTTGATTTTTTTTTTAAAACAATGATTTATTGATTTTTTGAAACAACACAAACAGCAACAAATCAGCACAGCCAAATACAAATAAGAAAAAGAGAAGAAAAAACAAATACAGGTACATGAGTTACAGATATACATGTCTGGGTCAAAATATGTACAGCGTTTCACATTTGAAGTCAAGGGAAAGAAAAAAGAAAAGAAAAAAAGGGGAGAGAAACAAAGGGAATACAGACATTAATTATTGTGTTTAAAAACAAAATGTGATCCCCCTTTATGTAATAGCACAGCAAGGTCACGAGGTAGGTGATAGGCAAAGGCTGCATATCCTACAGAATGCATTACAATTGCCCTTTATGATGGCACTAAGGCGCTCCATTGGCAGCACCTTGAACATTTCTCTGTACCATTGTGTAACAGTGGGGGGCAGTCTCTGAATCCATTGAAACAGTACACATCGCCTCACTAAATGTAAAAGTTTACCTAACAAAAGCATCTGTACAGAAGACAGAGAGAGCCCTTCTATAGATAGACCCAGAACGAACAGCACAGGGTTCAGTGGGATCGTCTGGAGAAGGTCTCTGACACCAAGAGGAAGGTCAGCTAGATCAACAGATAAAAGACTAAGAAGCGAAAGAGGGTCACAGCACCAAGTATCTACCGGTGGCTCGCCTTGGTACAGAAAGGAATGTAACCACCCTGAGATTATTTGTGCATGGCAAGCCCAGTAATAATATAAAAGGTTAGGAAGTGCCTGCCTCACCTCATCTGTAGGCAGTTGTAAAATCTGTATCTTTAGTCTAGATTTCTTCCCATGCCATATAAATTTAGAAAGATATCCCTCAATCTCTGAGAATGTTTTTCTGTTGATCCTGACAGGCAACATTTGTATGGGATATAATATTCTGGGTAAAACATTCATTTTGATTAAACTTATTCTACCCATCCAAGACAGGAGGAGGTCAAACCACCTATTGAGGTCATTCTTGATTGAGCCCACAATTGGTTTAAAGTTCAACTTGTACAACTCTGTTGTGTCTGCAGACAGCCTAATACCTAAATATGTAAAACCAGTGGTTGACCACCTGAAAGGAACATTAGGAGGAGTGTCCCACCTCCCCCCATCACCCAGTGGCAAAGATTCAGATTTATCATAATTAATTTCATACCCTGAAAAAAGGCCAAATTGATTAATGATATGTGTCAGTGCAGGAATAGATTCTTAGTGGCTTAGTTTCTTAGTTTCTGGCTTAGTGAGAAAGAGCAACACGTCATCTGCGTAAAGGGAAATTCTGTATTCAGTATTCAACAAGGTTACCCCACAGATCTCAGGGTCAGTTCTTACAGCCTCTGCCAGTGGCTCCAATGTAAGTGCAAACACTACGGGAGAAAGGGGGCATCCCTGACGCGTTCCTCTACCCAGTGGAAAAACATCTGAGACCGAGCCGTTAACCAACACCCTTGCAGCTGGGGCCCCATACAACAGTTTGACCCACTTGACAAATTCAAATCCCAAACCAAATCTTTCCAAAACATCAAATAGATACTCCCACTCCACCCGATCAAATGCTTTCTCAGCATCCAGTGAAATTGCAAGAGCCCTATAATTGCAAATCTTGCAATCTGCACCGAGTAAACTTATATGTCTGTAAGATGTACACAGATCTGCAGGTTTATCCTTCTTTAAGATCAGGGATATATGGGCAAGGTTTAAGGTGGGTGGAAGTGTGCCCCTCTCAAGAGATTCTACATACATTTTTAATAAAGGACCCACCATAAAACTCTGGCCCAAACCCATCAGGGCCTGGAGCTTTTCCACTCTGTAAGGATTTGATTGCATCTAAAATTTCCTGCACCCTAATAGGACTGCAAAGATCTAATCGACTTTCCTCTGATCGTATAGGGAGATTAACATTATCAAGAAACAATTTCCTAGCGTCTACAGTATTTTGACACTCAGGGGAATATAAGTCCTGATAGAACTCTTTCATTATTTTGCTGATAAGTTTAGCCTCGAATTGTAAAACAACTTTCTTATCTTTTAGAGAGGGTATTGCATAAGAGCCCTTTGTCCCCTGGGCAAGTCGGGCAAGTAAGCGTCCAGGTTTGTTGCCCGATTCAAATAATCTATGCTTTGCATAGAATATTGCAGTTTCCGCTTTCTGAGTTAGTAGTTGGTCCAGGGCTGATCTGGCTGCATCTAGTTTTTTAAGCACAGAATCAGACGAGGATTTCTTAAACTCCCTCTCCAAGTTAGTAATGTTGCGTTCAAGTACTAATTGTTTGGCTAAGGTGCGTGCTCTTCTTTTTCGCTGAGGTGAAAGAGATAATAGAGCCCCTGAGAAATGCCTTACCTGCCTCCCATAGAGTAGAAGCACTAACCCCCGGTAAGTCATTTGTAGAAAGAAAAAGTTCCCACTGATCTTCTAAATATTTTACAAATTCAGGGTCACTAAGGAGAGCTGGGTTTAGCCGGGCCAGTGTCTAGACAAGGGATCATAATAAGGTGGTAATAACTCCATTGAGACTGATGAGTGGTCTGAGAGAGCGCATGTGTTGATCAAACAACCCCGAGTTCTGTCAAGGACAGATCTAGAAACAAACATGTAATCAATTCTGGAAAAAGAAAAATGGGGGCGTGAGAAAAATGTAAAGTCTTTCACATGTGGATTACAAACTCTCCAGGCATCAAAAAGACCAAGATCTGAGCAGAAGTCCATTGCAGCCTTTGCCATTTTTGAAGGTGGTTGAGATTTTGGTGGATTATAATCAGTTTCAGGACTCAAACCACAGTTAAAATCCCCACCAATTATTACGTGATTCGGACACACAGAGGAGGTTTTTGCCAGAAGGTTTGAATAAAACAATCTATCAAAAGTGGTGCATAAACACTTCCTAATAGAATTTGCTCCCCATATAAAAGCCCAGTAATCAGAATAAATCGTCTGTTCGTATCCCTTACAATAGTATTTAGAGTGAATGGTAGATTTTTATGGATGAATATTGCAACGCCTACTTTTAGAGTTAAAAGAAGAATAGTAAATTTGTCCCACCCAATCACGCTTGAGTTTTAAGTGTTCAGAATCTGTGAGGTGAGTCTCTTGCAGTAATGCAATCTGCACTCTATCTTTTTTGAGTGAGGAAAGTATTTTGTGTCTCTTAAAAAAGTGATTAATTCTCTTGACATTGAGAGTTATAATTTTAATGTTACTCATTGTAAAAGTTGTCAGTCATTGGACAAAAATCGTCAACCCGAAGCAAACAAAAGACCAATCATAATAAACTTTTAAACTTTTAACATAATTTTTGACGATTTTTTTGGATACGAATAAACGGATCTGACCGATCAGACCTCGGCATTTGGTGAAAGTACGCTTGTAGCTCAGATCAAGCATTGGTACTAAATAATAATAACATAACATGTACAATGATGTGGAAATAATAGTGTTTTATAGTATTATTATTATTATTTATTTATACTATAATTATACTATTTTAGCTCAGGCACACAGATAGATGCAGCTTCAGCTCCTGGATCAGCTTCTTCTCATGAGGATTGGATGGATGCAGAATATCTGTGCCGTACTTTTCTTGTTTAAAAACATCAGGGCCAGGTCATCGTGGCTAGATGTCGACTTCTTTTTTAAATTTTTTAAGGACATATTTCCTGTAACAATGCAATTAGTTCAGTGTGCGTATATACACTGAACACGTATGTATATATGTTACCAAAAATTCATAATTTGCTGTTGCTTTTTCACAGTGCGCTCGGACTCGGCCTTAGGTCCTCAAAGACTCTTGGCTCAGTTTGTTTCTGCATGATGTCAATCAGAGGCAGCCAATCAGAAGAAAGTTGACGTAAAGAAAGAGGAAGGGAGTTAATTTTACAGTCACACTCGGTCAGGCAGTGGTTGGTCTATAAAGGGTTAAGCAGAAATTCTCTTTCATTATTTACATTCAAAGTTGAGCCACAACCTCATAGATTTGAAACACCAATTCCTCCACAATTAATGGTGTAATTCAGGGGTGGGCAACTCCAGGCCTTGAGGGCCCGTGTCCTGCAGGTTTCAGATGTGTCCTTGATCCAACACAGCTGATTCAAATGGCTAAATGACCTCCTCAGCATGCCTTTAAGTTCTCCAGAGGCCTGGTAATGAACTAATCATTTGATTGAGGTGTTTTGACCCAGGGTGAGATCTAAAACCTGCAGGACACCGGCCCTCGAGGCCTGGAGTTGCCCACCCCTGATGTAGTTGCTGCAGGACATCAGTTTCATGACACTTTTCATAAAGCAATAGAACCAGAATAGAACAAACTGAGTCGAGTCCTTGATTACAAATGTGTCGACAATCTCTCTGCGTTTAAGAATTGGCTGCAGTCGGTTTGAGTCGGACTGTAACTGTAGACAGGTTGGCTCCCACTTTGAGACCTGTGTGCAAATTTAGGGCTGCCACAAACGATTATTTTGATAGTCGACTAGTCACCGATTATTTTTGCGATTAGTCGACTAATCAGATCATGCATCCATTGGACATAAAACGTACAGCTTATTGCACCAGCAGCATCTGCTCTTATATAACTATCATTAGCTTACAGCTTTAAGTGTTTAAGGTGCTAACTAAAAATAAAGACAAGATGATAGTTTCTTAAATTTTAATGAAATTTGCAGATTGTTTCGTTGGAGTTTAATAAACTCAGCCGCCTGCTCCTTGCTATCTAAAATATAACAGGACCGGAGTATATTCTTGAGCATCTCACACTTCTGATAATCAGTTGTCTGCTTGACGTTTATTCAGCTGTGTAAAAACTATAACTTTAATCTCAGTCAAACCGATTTACTCAGGAACAAATAAAACACTAAAAAAAGCCAAACAATATCATTTTTAAGTTATCTAAGTGACTTATGTATGTTTAACCTGAGTAGCGAAAGACGGCGGTGGGTTTGAAAACGATTTGCCGGGAGTCCGGTGTTCTCACGGCGCTAGTGACCTAGCCCCCGGCTAGCTATCGAGCTAGTGGGTAACAGACGTCTCCGAAAACGTCGGAGCGCTTTTGAAAATATGTGGTGTCCTGATAAACTGAGCAGATATTTGAGGTTTACACAGCTACATTCTCGCCGAAAATATGTTAAACGTTTATTTTGTGACCCAGAAAGAATAATAAGAGTAACATTAAAACTAACTAGCTGCCACCATTGTTGGAAACTGAGCTGGGCCGTGCTATGAATTCTGGGACACAGCTGCTTCTTCTTCGGGGTTTAACGGCAGCTGGCATCATTGTACATGCAGTGCTGCCATCTTCTGTTTCAGTCCCTTATTACACTCTTAAATCCTACTACTTATTCTTGCGTCTTTTGTGCTCTAACAAAGCTTCAAACGACGTCGTCGACGATTTTGATAGTCGACGTAATCGTGACTAGTTGACTAATCGTGGCAGCCCTAATCTTGTTTGGAGCTGGGATTGTGCAGAGCTGCTACAGGGGAGAACAAGAATAAACATATGGAGCCTGAAATGAGCAGAATATATCAGCTTTTTACATACGAGGAGAATTCCCCCAACACCTCCTGCATACACCCGTCCCTAATAACAAAAGACTATAAAACTATTTAAATGTTACCTTTTGCTTTCATTGAAGTTCATGACTTTGCAGGTATGAGTCAGACTCATGCGTCTTCCTTTGTGCTGCAGGGACAGAGCGATCTGTTACGTGGGGCTAAGATGGATTCTCTGGATGCCCTGAGGCAGCTGGCTCTGGCCTGTGAAGCCTGTGGACTCACCTCCTCCTCTTCTTCCTCCAATTCCTCATCCTCCAATTTCTCCACAGTTGAGCTGCACTACTCCTCCCACCCCCTGTCCGGCCGCCGAAGCAGCACACACGGCAACGGACGCATCTGAGACCCACCTGCCCACCCCCCCACCCCCCGGGTCCAACACACTGCCAAAGATGAAAAGGGATTGAAAAGAGTAATTACAGAGGATAGCAGACAGAAAAAGAAAAGAAAAACCTGGACCTGGGTGTGTAAAGCAACAGATTAGACATAGATTTCTCTATGCTAGAGTGTATTCCTGTATACAGTGCAGTAAATGTGTAGACTAAAGCCTTACGGTGAGTCCAGCCTGCAGAGAGGCTCCTCATGAATGTCTGCCGGTGGAAGAAAGACGTTAAACACAGGAACTTAATTTTCTGAGAGCTTAAATCAGCATTTAAAACTCAATAGTTTCTTCCTCATTAATGAGGAAATCAGAGACAACTTAGTAGTTTGTGACACTGGAGCCCCTGATGATGACCGTCATATTACTGGTGTTTCGTTTCAGAGGTGAAGTTTTGGAAAGGAGCGAATGTAGAGCTGTTAGTTTGGCCTGTCCCTTGGGAAGGCAGCAAAATTGCCTGTGTGTGTTGGAAATGGTGGAAAGGTGCAATAACAGATTGAGAAAACCTCACAGGTGGAGAGCTGCTGATTACGTTAGCCTAGAATTTTAGTATTTTAGACGTAGCTGCAGAAACGTTTGCAGTTGCTTAATATTTAAAAGGAAAACTGAGGTTTAATCCAGTTAGGATGACCACCGATCATGTAGAGTATATACTAACATGACTGACAGTTAGTGTTGTGATCACTAACCTCTGTCCTTTCACCTGAATAGTGGAAGTATCCTTTTTCTGACTCGTTCTCCTTAAAGCATAGCAGTGTCTGCCTAATTTCTTCACAGCTTTCGAACAAAATGAGCTTCAGATGCAGAAAAACTATCTTATCTCAAATATGAAGGCTTATTAATGAGGTTTGAGAGTTTGGAAAGGTTGCAGGTCAAATCAATCCAGCCGTTTGTGTAATGTATTGCTTCTTTCCAGACTGCAATCTCTTAACCTCTGTAGGCCTTATCTGCCCTGTTTGAGGATTAATGCACTTACTAGATGCCCTTGTAACTCCGAGTGCACTCACACATTTCTCCTTCTGGTTTGTGTATTTGTGCAAAGAAAGCACCAGAAGCTTACACACACACACACACACACATGCACACACACACACACACACAACCACACACACACACACACACACACACACACACACACACACACACACACACACACACACAGGTTCTTATTATCTCCACGCAATGGCCTGTGGGGCTGTTGGCATTTGTTGTTTGTTAGTGTGGTAATTGGAGAGGATGTGTATGTAGTACTGCATGTCTGCTGTGTGGATCTTGTTACCACCTCACTATGCTGACATGTGGTGTAATGAAAGCTCAGAGTCTGTGGAGGAAGAGCGGCTTCCTGCAGTTTGGATGAAGTTGACTACACTGGTGTAGCAATAATTTCAACTAAAGTAATACACAAAGACTGTATAACTCAACAATAGAATGAACTGTGCAACTCAGTTATAAAAGAAATCAACTAAAACACATGTGATATGATGTGTGGCAGGGGCTGTTCATGGTTGTGTCAGTGATGGTGTTCTTCTGTGTCTCTGAGCATTAACGTGTGCTTCTTTTTAACACGGGGAAACCTGTTCTTAAACTCTGCTGATTGGGGCCAATCTAGCATGACTCCAGAAACTCTCAGCTCAAGCTTTTTAAGGGTGACATGTCTTAAAGTGGGCCTGTTCCACTTCAGAACTCTAGTAGAGTGGTTTTCGTGATTTATGGTAAATAAAAATATTCCTTATTTGTCTTATAAAGTTGTTTTACTTCTTCTGACCAGCTGCCCTTTGCAGATTTGGGGCTTCTCTGCTCAAAGAGCTGTGTGCCTCAAATGACCATATTAGGTAAATCCTGTCCTGTCTGATAGCCTGTCATACAGAGCCAAGAGTAGAAAAACTGTGTGAAACAGAGCAGTTAGAAGCTGACGCTTACTCACTCATTTGAATATTTGGCCACGTTTAATAAGAGCAGCCACCGCTGGGACCATAATGACAGAAAATAGGTACCTTTACAAACAACACTGTTTTCTTAATTTTGTTTGAGATACAATAAAAATCGCATCATAGTTCTGCTGGATTGACTTGTGATTGTAATCCAGTGCCGACCAACTTAAGTTCCACCTCCGTGTTTGAAGGTGGAGGCATCTTAACCTAACTTAAGACTAAAAGACATTTTGAATGTTTCTTTTGCCCTTTCAGGAGAGCAGGTACGTGGGCCACGGCTAAATATTGGAGCTTAACAGCCAGTGGCATTTTTAGAGTAGACAAGATATAATGAGAAGCACAGGGTTTACTAACTGACTTAGTCCTGTGCAGACGTGTATGTGCAAAGCTACTGTATCTTCTGAATGAGTCTGCCGTGTTTTGTAATAACCTCCTTCTTACCCCCTACTTCTCTCCATCCTCTTGTTCCTGCTGCTCTTCCCGAGACTCCAGGTGGGCAGTGACAGAGCTGGTGTACTGAGTCATAGCCACAGGAGGAAGCTGACCTAATAACATTTCCATGTTTTTCTTTGGGTGTGTGTGAGTGTGTGCGTGTCTGTGAAAGGGCTTCACAAAGTAGAAAACAAATAATGGCGAGAGAGCAAAGGTTGCAGAATAGAAGAAGTGTCTGATATTGGCTGCATGTGTGGGTCGGTGGGCACACCTGCAGAGCTTCGTAATTGGCCGGGAGCAGTAGACGTGGTGACAGCGCCTGCTGTTTGGGTCTATTAATAACACTCTGACTCACTGGAGGCTTCAAGATGTGAGTTTGTGCTGGAGCGCTTATGTTTGTCACCATACAACGGTGCCCTAATTCCTCACCCGATGATGCTGGTTTTCGGTCGCTGGTGTTTCGGGTCCTCTGGAGGATTACTGCCCCCAAGAGGCAAGTTTGTGAATGCTTTCATCGGGTCATAGGAGGTGTTGACTGCCTAGAGCTCTCCAGGACTGCAGGGAGGATCTCTGCATTAATGGTCTGTGAGCTGCAGGTAAACAAACCACAGTACTAGCTTTTCTGTGTTAAGTTAAGCTTATCCTTGGAATAACTCATCATGTGAAAAAGTATTAGCATCCCACGGAAATTTTTAAAAAAAATATATTTGGACAAGTAAACACTAGATGAGCTTTGAAACAGTGTCTAAAGGCGGGGTGTGAGAAAAACACAGGGTTTAAAAACTTATTAGGCTGTTTGCTGATGAGTTTGTGCACAGATGATGTTTCTGTCTTAGAGAACTCCACGGTGAAAATTAAAGTATGTAAACTTTGACATCTGAAGTTAGTATTGATAAATGATAAATGGGGTGGTACTTCGCTACTCTGTGCACAAAACACTTTTGTCTGCTAGCTCATTCCATAACCCTCCATTCCTTCTTTTTTAACCACCCCCTGTTGATTTTCTAGTCTTTACATCATCACCTCATCAAAAGGGCCTTGCATACATTCCAATCAGTCTCTGATCTCACACATAATTAATAGCTGAATCAGTGTCTGGAATCGACAGTCCCTAAGGTAGTGAAGCAACCCCAAACCGATTATTTCCACCTCCAGAGTTCTCATGAGGTTCTTCTTCCGAAGCTGCCTTTGGTCATTCCTGATATAATGACTGAGCAACTCAGCCAGTTTTGTTCTGAGCTTCTTTTTCAAACAGTAAACACTTTTTGTGGCACCGTTAGTTGCAAGACTTAAAATCCTGGTTTGTCTTTGCATCAAATGGTGTATATAATATCATAATATCATTTCATATAAGTTGGAAAACATATGAAATCAATTACCAGATTTGTAGACATTCACAACTGTGAGTATGATGGCAAAGTCTTCAGGAGCACAGAGAACAGCAGAACGATAAAAATGGGAGCTCCTAATGTTATGGACATTACGTTTTCTATGATGGAACTGACAAAAAACAAAAAGAAAATAATAATTTTAAGTTTTAGTTCTTTTAAAATAGGCCCTGTATTATTATTTTTACTGTTTCACCTTCAAATGTTTGCTTGTCCAAATATATCAAGAAACTTTTATGAAGATCATAAACTTTTCTGTGACGTAATGAGTTTTATGCTCTATTTATAAAGCTTGTGATCACTGAGCTGATGCATTGAACAAAGGCAGTATGTAAGCCAAGAAAAATGGCTGCTTGATCTCTTTTTTGGAATTCGACCTCTGTGGCGTGTCAGGAATCTGCACCTGAACCCAAATGTGTTGCTGGATGAATCAAATAAACCAGGTCTTTGTTTCTTTTTGTCGCTTGATCGAACCCATTTACTTCTATAATAGCAAAACATATGAGAAATTTTCCAATGAGTGTCCTTTTATACCTTCCAGGCAGCTATTGCTTTCATTTGGTATCTGTATGGTATGAAAGTCAGCTTCCAGGTTAAACCAGTTCAGTGAACATCTTGCTCAGGTTTATTTTATCAGTGATATTATTCTACAGATGCAAGCAGACAGAAAACAAGCAATATTTTCATCAACACAACAGAGAAAGTTCCCTTTCTCAAAACCCTTTTTGTTCAAGAAGCTACCAAACCGACATCACTACGTACATTGTGATTAATGTGATCAGTGCAACACTGTTCAACAATCAAAACCATCTTGGGACTTCTCAGTAGCACACGGTTTTCTGACAAAAACATTTTCTTTTTTGTTAAAGGTACTTAACAAGTACTTTGTTATTTAAATTTTTTTTTCAAAAAATAACCAAAGCTTTGAGCAGATTTTAAAGAAACAACCTTTCAGTATTTAACCATCTATTACAGTTGTGTTTACCCGCTGGTAAAATGCTCCCACCTGCTGGTGAAAGCTTGAAGTACATTTAGAAGGGGCTAATTAAAAAAAACTAAATTGTGCTTTTGTTGCGCACAAGTTAATAAAGCTGAGCATGTCGTTCACTGTAGTTTGTTTCAAGCAAGGGTGAGGTCAGTCATGAAGATCTGTAGTCACTGAATTCAGCTCGCAGAAAGAGTGGCATTATCCTGGGAAGAAAAGCAAACCAACACAAACGCAGGGTTCAGCTAATCCAGCACTCGTACGTTTTGTCTTCACGTCACCTCGTGTGATGATGGCCAATGTCAGATGTTTTGCAGTATTAAAACTTCAGTGTTTACCTCTGCCAAAGGTACTGCAGTCACCATTCAGTACAATGCTTTACATTCAGTGCATTGCATCCCATTGGTAACCCACTGCTGCTCCCGGATCCTTGAAGCTATTTCCCTTTATGACTTCAAAAGTGGGAACACATCCACGGAAAGATTTCTCTCTCACTGTGATTCAATATTTAAGCAGAATTCTGGTTTGTTTCAGATATTTCCCATTATTGTGCCAATTGCTGCTCCATGAATCGTGCTTACTCTGCCCTCCCCTCCACTGTAATGATTCAGTACAAAACAATATCAACAAAAAGTGTTCTTACTTGAGTCTGTCTGATTGAAACACAATAATGGGAAATATGCAAGGTTAAAATAAGCCACCATTCACCCATAAGGTGTCAGTTTGAGGTGTGGGAGTGGTAGACTAGCCATGTAAAAGATGGGTGCTACAATTGTACTGCAATGTACCTGTTAATCCATGTGTCTTAACTTAGAGCTAACCCTCCCTGTACTCTTCAGCGTGTGTGATGCTACCAGTGGTCAAATAGTGCTTAACGTTCATGTGAATAATCGGAGAGTTGTTTATACCTGCCGTAGTGACGTGGACAAACATGTGAAACACTTGGAAATGTGTAAAGGTGTTTTAGGTTTCGTAGGCTAATATCTGTGGCATCTACAATGTGTGTATTGGCCTGTATCTGCACCACTGACCTTTTAAACCAGTGCAGTTCCCTCAACTGTTCTCATAGTCCAATGTGTGTTTTTGTAAAGCTGACAGGAGAAATAAAGACCAAAAGAAGAAAAAATATTTATTGAAGTGTGTTTTAAAGCTATAAATATATATAATTAATTAAATGGACCTTGCTTTTATTTTGAAAAGCTACTGTGTTTTCTATCTGACTAATAATCAAATATAACAGTATGTATCCCAGCTAAATAAAGACTTCTTTTCCTGACCAAATCTTCTGGTTGTGTCTACTTGATCTCGTCCTGCTGCAGGTATGTTTACAATATATGCACCTCTAACATATAACTGTCATAGGGCTTGGCATGGTGTCATGCAAGTCTTTTCTAGTGCTGTAAAGTCGGGACGGCTCCAGAGGTTTCTCCTTGGATTATACTTGCTTGCTGGTATGCACACAGACAAACACCGTGGCTGTAAGATGGAAGTGTAGTTTCTGACAGATTTAAAGACAGGTTAGCAGCAAAAACACCAGAGCTTACTGACAGCAAAGTTTTATTGAATTAGTAAAATCAGTGAGGATGTGGCAGGTGATTGGTGTGTGTGTGTGTTGGGGGGGGGAGACACATGAAAGTGACTAACAAAATAAAACAGGAAAGGACCAAAGGAGACATTAACTTAAGGACAAATAGAGACACAGATAAAGAAACACAGGAAAAACAGTAAATGTATAACTTATACAACGTATGATGCCATTTTAAAATACATGTTGAACACATGAATGCACCGTTTGTTTTCCAAATCAGTTGTTAGTACAGTAGCAGGTGTAGCTGTGCCAGCATGGCTGTGGTGAGTCCTCAGTAACTGCTTTTCAGTAGCAGGCCTGAGATACTGAGAGGTTCATGTCCTGTGCATGATGTTAGTCCGTGTTTCCAGGAGGGGGAGCCAAACATCAGGCTATTTTCTCATTGGGCAAAACTTATCCCACCATTCAATGGTTTATTTTAATGTCCACTTTATGACTTTAGGGTTTTTTTCCCCATCTTTGATTTTTGTGCATATATGTTGTTGAGCCTTTCTAATTTCATGGTGCAACACTGCATAGAATCCAAACACTCACAGATGTTCTGTTTATTATGACTTATATATCAAAGGTTCATATTAGGGACACAACAAACAGTTATTACATTTGTTTATTTAATCTACTGATTAGTTCTATCATTAGTCAAAAGTGATAAATATTTTTAAAAATTGTAAAAACAAACATAAAATAAAAGTAATTAGAAATGTCCATGCTTCCATCTTCTTGATCTCCAAATATCCAACAGGACTCTAGTGACTCATGTAATATTGGGGTCAGATTCATATTGACCCATGTAAATGGAAGTTTCTTAAATAACTTGGAGTCAGCCTGCCTCAGCCTGATTCAGCTCCATGGTGCTGAGCCCGTACGTGTTGCAGGGACTTGGTCTTCTGGGCCGAAGATGGTTCTTCATAACTCTGGCTGGATGCTGGGACAAATCAGATGCCTGCCTCCCTCCCAGCACGATCTGTCAGTGTTGTGATGTTTAGTCTCCTAATCTAGAATGAAGGGCAGCAAAGTCTCAGTCTTTTCCCATCCCCACCCACTTTCTCTCCCTCGAGAGGTGTTGGGCAGCAGATGGGAAGTGATGGTAGTGTAGGCAGTGACATGGCAAGCTGTCAGGTCCTAATGCAGGCTAACATCTGGAGGTTGTTGTCCATGTCACTTCGGGGTCCTCTAGCCCAGGGCGAGAAGCCACCCTGTGGGACATAAACCCAGGGCCAGAGCTGGGCTCTTTTGACAAGGAACTGTCGACGATGGGAGTCAGCTTGCCTTTGACTTCATAAGGAAAGTGAGAGATTAAGATTTAGATTGTACTAGGGGGTAATACTAACTGAGCTCCAGTACAGTGTGACGGAGCAGTAACTAGTTTAAGTGGGCCATCAAAGTAAAGGTTCTCAGAAAAATACATTTAGTATGAAACTACATGGCTCTGCATATATCATGAAGCAGCTTTTACAGTGTATTTATCACAGGAAACAGCTGGCACAATCTACAAATAGACCATCATAAGACATCCTCGGCGAGCGGGTGGTGTAGCCACGGCTATAGGCACAGCAGGATAATACAGAGCCCGTTAAAATCGTCAGTGCCATCGAGGCACTATGCTATTAGCGCTTCATGCTTGCCTCGAGCATCCAAGAAGCAAGTGCCTCTTCTATTTTAATGACAGCCCTCACCCAGAGGTAATTTCACAGTGATTAAGGCAAGAGGAAAAAAATTATGTCTTAAAAGTCTCTAAATTGCATCTTATTTATCCACCTTTTAACTAACTACAAAAGGAAGACAGACAATGGCACTGCATGTTTCTACCTCTCCTGGTGAACAATTATACTTGAGACATTATCTGGTCCATTGTTAGATGGGTATTAAATATGGCACCCAGGAGATATGACAGAGTAAAGCTTTGATGGAAAAGTTAAGATGAGAGAAATTAGATGAAAAAACAACAACTTGAATTTATTAGTTTTGAGTGTTTTTTCTTTCTTTCCTCAGATCAAATTCAATCTGCCTGATCTAAACACGAGCTCTGGTTTCAATTTTTAGTGTAGTGTATTTTTTAATTGTTTATTTTTTGTGTAACCTTTATCCCGTGTCAGGTTTATCATTTATTCATTTATTTTTAGCCCATGTGACGTAGCATGACTCAACACATAGCTTTGGCCTAAATACTGGTAAGCTATTCAAATTGCTGGCTCCAAAACCAACTCAGTCCCCTTGCCAAAATGTAAAAAATTGTAAAACTGTTATGTGGCAACTGTATGCATGATTTTTAGGTAGACCTTTAAAATGTTTTATGGCTTAATGTCATGCATAATCAATGGCCTGGCCATTTTAAGCGACTGCTTGGGTGCAATTTGTTTAGTAGTACAAAAATGTTACAGTGGGCACTGTCATTGTTTGCATTGATACTTGAGTGCAGGTGTGCATTGCTCTGGAATCTTTAACAACTGCAGCTTTTACTGAAATGTAGGACGACGAGACTTCTGGACCCACTTTGAGTCTATGGATGGACTGTCAGAGTTATGAAAGTGCAAATAGCAGCGCACTGACAGAATAGGTTATAATATAATTTAGGCTATTATTTTTGCTAACTAAAAATGACATTTCTGTCAGCTCAGTTCAATTGTATTTTATTTATACTGTGATAGATCACAACAGCAGTCACTTCAAGGCACTTTATCTTTCTAAGGTAAAGATCCAGCAATAATACAGAGAAACCCCAACAATCAAACATCCCCATTTAAGAAGCACTTGATGACAGTGAGAAGAAAGAACTCCCTTTTAACAGGAAGAAATCTTCAGCAAAGTCAGGCTCAGGGAGGGTATTCTCTGAATTTTCCTTGCTAACTAAACTCAATGCTACCAACTGCTCCTTTTCATTAAAAAAAAACAAAGTTGCACCAGTCAAACTGGCTGACTTGTATGTACATAAACATATGTCAGCTCAGGAATTGCTATGCATTCTGGGTTGTCACCGCCGTGTTGTTTTTCATACAAAACCAGAACCAAAACAAAGTCAGACCCTAGCAGGTGATGGGGAGGAAAACAGAATAATGAATGCATGAAAAAAGCATCCAAATGACCCGTGACACA